CTTGGTCTGTGTTTTGATATGCAGCCCTTGATGGAAAATATTTGGACACCCCTGGGGCCATACTATTCCTGGTTTTGTCTCATTTTAGGCCATTTTAGCCCCAGTATATGCCTGATATAGTTTGGGTTTAGATCTGGTGGTTCTTGGAAATGCCAAATTAAACCATAGCTGGTATTTGGTGTGAAAAGATTAAGAGTTACTGACCTAGGCTAACCTCTGCGAAACTGCAGTGACAGTCCCATTAGGTCATGCAGTCTGGGCCATGCTTCAATTCAAGTATGTATGGAAAACAGGGCACTTATTTGAGAAAGCAACTATAGCATGAAATAAAATTAATAGCAAAAATGAACAAATATTAGACAGCATGTTGTATGGTATTATGTGTGGTTTATTAAATCAAATATAGAATTGTATTAGCTGTAAAGTCAAATTTTTACTGTCTTAAAAACATGAAAAACAAAACTACTTTATTTTAACTAAACTCAAACTTATTCCTCACTGTCTTAATGCATTCCTAACATCTTAATTTTCCACCTCAATGTGTGTATAAATACATTTCACAACTTTCTGAGGTAATGCTGATAACAACTAGCATGCTAATAGTGCACAAGCATTAGGCTACTTCCTGGTTCGCAAGCGAGAAAAATAGTTTTTTTTTTTTTTCTTTAGAAGCAGGAAACACACAGCAGTCTCTTTTTATCTTAGCAGCAGATGCCTTACAATATATCTACTGGAACAAAACCAATTTCACTCACATGAAAACAAAATGGGTACAGACCCTTTAATGCACTTTCCAAAAATGCATTATTTTTGAGAATAAGTCTGCAAATGTATCAATCTTAATATTAAAAAAATAGCCAAACTATTTCAGTTATACATCACTGTCACTTCACAATCAGCCCTCCACACAGTACAATATGCAGTTATACAAACCAATCTTTGCTGTTCAGATATTGCCCATTGCACATTATCAGCCCGTTGACAGAAGCTGAGTGGTAATATTTCATTGTCACCACTTGTGTTGATAGAAACGTTGGACTCCACACTGTCAAAACAAGCAGCATATATTCATGCTCGGCCGAGTGTGGGACCTTAGCTTGAATATTGATTAGCCATAGCCGCACTGCATTTCTGCTTATTTCCATATTACAGCTCCTGCATACGCAAAGACAACTTGTTTTCTGACCAAATTAATCAGTCAGTACATTTTTATTCTATTTTTATACACATACATACATTTAAAAGTGCTACAGAAAAAAGATTCTAATTTATGGAAATCACAAAATGTTGCATCTGCGTTCTAAAAAGAATTTCAGAGGAGGGGTAGGGGCCAATAACTCTATGAGAGATCCATTGTTTATTGCAAAAAATATCCATATTTATGATGTTGAATCTTATCATTATTAAGTAGTGACCGACCTCACAAACATATTCATTAATTCCATTGCTTTCAATGACCATTCAAATGACAGAGAGTCCTTTTTGTTTCTTATAACAATATAAACATGTTCAGTGTTTTTATAATTAAGAATACATCAGCATTAGAATTGTCATCAGTAAAACCTTTATTTAAACGTCTACCTTGTATCTGGAGGCGCATACAGATCATGTTAATGTAATTTCAAATACCAATTGTGCATAACCAACTTTAAAATTTTAAACTATCGATAGGCTACTTTGCTACTTTGCAGGTGATGTCATCAACTTTCCTGAATGTATAATGCTAACTGGAGTCACTGCTGTGTCTGAAGCTCTGTTGCTCAAGTTAAACTTTAATCTGAGCTTTATTTTAACAAAATCTGACCATAAAAAATGACTTAAATTGGAACTACAGATGATGTGTGCTCAAGTGGGCTGATACTGCTCAACATTTTTTCAGTTAGTCACCTTTTTGCTGAAAAGCTAAACCTTTCAAATAAGCAAATTTACTATGTGTTATCAATTTATAAAGAATTTAAATTGTTAATCTGAATAATTACATTTCTTCATGTAATCTTTGTGTATATTGTTTGTCTGTTTTCTTGTATGTATTATAATTTGTATAAAAAATGTGCATGCACATATTTTGAATGAATTTAGATTGTTCATTAAAATTGAAATTAAAATATCTTTTATTAACAGTGATCCTTCCATACTGGCGTTGGATCTGCTGGAAGCTCAGACTGCTGGCACACATGAGGAGGCCGTGTGTGCGTGGAGAGTAAATACAGAGGATTTTCATGGCACAGAGAGGAGCCAGCAGACTGCAGCTCTCAGCCCCTGTTTGTTCACCTGTTTAATGTGTGGGCAGATTCTACAGCACTTCTGCCATATCGACAACGCACTGAGAAGTTTACAGGTAAAGTTGGAGGAGGTTGAGGATTAAGAGTGGAACTTATAATCATCAGTACGTGTTGTTTGTGGTAGTTAAGGCTGCAGGACTAATTGCAATTGAAATCGTAATTTGAATCAAAGCAATTAACAAATAGCAAAGGCTGCAATTTTTGAAGTACCGTCATTT